CTATAACTGTGGACAGCTGTTTGATTGCAGTTGATGGGGTATAAAATGGGGCTCTCAGTAGGCTTCTGAAGCAGAGAGAAAAGTACCAAAACTGCCCTGAGAGGATTTGTTGTTGGGACACGTGGAAGCATTTTGGATTTATTTTTAGAGGCGGACCGTTTGGAGATGGTGTGTTTATCTAAAGAGATGCTTCATTGGTGTGTGGGCAGTAATAGGTCTGCTAGGAGTGCAGAAGTTTGGAAATGTTTCAGTATTACCATTTCCCCCACCACATTCCCAAACGAGCTGGGGATACTTTATTCATCAAGTGTGCTCTGCCCCCCCCCCCCCCCCACGTCTCCTCTATGTCGGACGTGCCGAGAATACTTCTAAAGGGAGATATACAGGAGGAATTCTTAAGGTGCCAATATACTCATAAATCAGAAATGCTAGGTGCATGGTTGAATAATTTCAGAAATCCCCAATCCTTTCCAACACTTGCATTGGTGGGGATTAAATCCTGAGAATTTCTGAAATTTTCTAAGGCAAGCTATCTTGCATTCACATGCTCTTCATTGGGGGTTCAGGCAGGTGTGTGGGGGTGAGCCAGTTGGTAGAGCTTAAACAGTGTTGTTGGGGGGGGCTTGGAGTGTTACGGCATGGCAGGTTTAGAAATAATTTAGTTCATTAGAATTTTTCATAAACAAATGTTCATAAATAATAAGATTATTCCAATCAATCACTTACCTTAAATATAACTTAATGTCAACATTAATAACTATTATATATAGATTCTGTTGCAGGGGGTCAAGTTAATAAAATAAAAAAAGGCGGAAAACCTTTGGCAAGACAGTTTATAACTTTTAAAATGAAAGCGTAAAGGTCAGACTTACCATGTTCTGATTGGACAAGAACCCCAAGTCATGGAGCGTACTCAAGGAGACTTCAGTAGAAACAGGAAATATTTGCAGAAGATCCTCCTGCAGTAGCATGCCTAAAAAGTGTGACTGTAAGTTTTATTGCACAGGTGTGGGTAATACAGTCTGAAAAACTGAGGAGGTAAGATGTAAAAGAGACTACGGATATCCAAGATGGAAGACAAAGTGACAGTCTGATGTGATAACTACAGTTCTTTGCCTTTATGTCAGTGCCACGTGTCATTGGACATATTCACAGTATTAACAAATGTGTTGGAAAGAACATGCTGTTGAGCAGAAAAACAGCTTCATAGTAAATGTCCCCCCAGCCCTGAGTTTTTTTGTATACTACGTTCACACATCGGCTCACCAAGATTCAGGCAGAGATGTTTCCAGGGGGCTGGAATAAAAATGTCAAGGTAAAGTCAGGGTGAAAAATTTAGCAGTTTGCGTTCACACATGCAGCTCGGCCATGAAAGTTAAAAATTTGCCGGAGTTTTGTGAATGTGTGTGAAGAACAGCTTTTGCTTCAAACTATGTTCCTGTCGCTTTAAGGAGAGACTCACTGTTTTGGTGTTGAGTGCATTATTATCTCCATATCCAAATGAAATGTCTCCCTCTGAATGGTTGTTCCAAACAACTATGAACTATTTTTTCTTATTATGTACAATCAATACACATCATACAAACCAGTTCTGCTGTTGCATAACAAGAGCCCAAATTAGACAGCAAAACCCCATCAGTGGATTTCTTTGAATGTGAAGGATGTTCCCCTCTTAAGTTTGAGCCAAGCCGCTGTTTTGGTCATTCACCAAAACTTCTAAAACTATATTAAAGTTGGAACAGTCTAGCATACTGTAGTGTAACAGAGTTGTGTGTGTGTGTGTGACAGGTTGTAGCATACATTTACAACAACTTCCTCCTATACTACCTCGTCTCACACATCCACGTCAGCGCACTGTGTCAGTGTACAAACTCCAGTTAGTCAGGAATAGAGGTCCCCACACGCTGAAAGTGTTTTAAGTGCAGAGAATGTATGTGACAGGCGGGACCCCCCCCCCCCCTGCCCGCACATTCGGGCCAGTCTCCACAGTCTTTAGAGGGAAATTGAGAGGAGAGCTTACAGTGTTGGACAGGCTCAACGAGAACCTGCCAAAGTCTCCTGTCAGGGTCTGAGAATCACAGTGTGGCAATCTCATTAAAGGAACAAGGCCTTTCAGTCAGAGCTGCAGAGAGAGAGAGACGGGCGCTGCATTGTGGTTTTTATTTCCATATATACCACTCTGTACGGTGTATTGCTTGTTTAAAAAGAAGAGGGGATGCCTGTACTGTAAATGTATGCATAGAATGTCAAATTAGCCTCCATTATATCCTGTGCATATAGAATCCTGCTTATTTATGAAAGTAACCTTTCTGCAGCATTGTGATGCTCCTTTTTGCATATTTGTTTTTTTATGTAGATTATTTAAAAAGCGCACACTTAACAGGAATGTATTCTTATCACCAATCGTCTGCTCACTATTCATAATGGCATTATTACCAGTGGTAGAGGGGGAATACAAATATAAACATCCTACCAATGTTAAACTGCTGCTGCCTTAATGGTGTCATGCCCATAACCACTCCCCATTCATCTTAAGCAAAGGGGTATTAAATGCAGATTGATGGGGCTCTGTATGGTTTGGGATTGCTTTGCACTTTGCAATACAGTTGGATGATTCATGAGTATTGCAGTCCTGGTGGATGGCTGTAGTTGGGGAGGCAAGCAGCTGGAGGTGTGAGGAAGCAGAAGGCAGCACAGCGTCCCCTGCACCTGTGTGTTTGCCTACCAGCGCTTTTTTTTTCCACATTCATTTATCCAAAGAGAGCCCAACCCTGCTTCACACTCACTCCATTACACAAATTCACACTCTGGTGGTGTCAAGCATAAACCATTTTTTTTCTTCTGTTTTTAGATCCCGACCAGCTCCACTGGAGCAGCTGACAAGGTCAGGTTTCTTGCTAAAGGGAGCATTGATGGTGTTAAAGAGACAGTAAAGCGCCGATCATTCTCTTCCCCTTTTAGCTGTGATTGTTTTGGATTGATACTTTGAAAACAGGAAAGATTCTCTACATGTGAATAAATTGTTAAAAATCAAATTGTGTGTAACAGCAGGGTTAGTGGGGAACTATCTGCAGCAACTACTACCATATGCAATACATGACCCTCGGCCTCCATAAATCACAATCATATAATGATACATCAAATATCTGATTAACTGAAATAAAAACATTTGAAAGTGCAGTATTAAGGTATATATTCATTGCAATTTGGCGTTAGTTTCACTTCTTGTCATACTTCATCTCTTTACTTCTTTTCACAGCTGTCCAAAAATATCCTGCCGTCTTCTTCTTCTCCTCCTATAACTGTATGCTTCTGTCATCTTCTATGGCCAATAACATCTGTTCACATTACACTCATGTTTGACACAAGTGCCACCAGGGGGAGTTATAAAGTGGGGACACGGTGAGTCAAATTGAAATCTTTGTAGAGCTCCCTTTTTTAATCAAAATATGAATATTTGGCACTTGTTGTGAATGAATGAGCCGGCTCTTTGTGAATGAACGATGTGAGCACTCTCGTTGTCTTTCTTATTTTACTCTTTTTGTTGTTGTTATATAATGAAAAATAATAAAAGAATGGTATTTTCTCCACACCCCTCAGCCACAGGCTCTGCCAGTGCTTTGTGGTATAACAATAATGCACCTTTTGTAATGCCAACACATTGGTTCATTTGGCTGATTTATTACAAACCAAAATGGCACAAAATTATGAGTTTTTTGGAAGCTGAAAAAGTCGACCCTTTTTTCCCCAATGAGCTGAGCGAAATGATCCAGATCACTAAAAAGAGCCGTATTTCCAATCCTTATTTCGCACCAGCATTATATCTGTATCGAGTCAGTATATATATATATATATATACAGTATATGCTCACTTGACATATTGTTAGTAACATATTGTATATTTCATGCAACAGTACTACCCTCTGTTGTGATGAACCGTGTATTCCTGCCAGTTACCCGTTCAGTGAGGATATTCATTCCTATGAGGAGGTTACTCTACAAAACCTGAACAGGAAGCAGAAACAAAAGTTTCACACAATAACAGAAAGTCTTCCATCTCTTCCTTTGTTATTTGAGTGACTGTTAGTCTGCTGTTCTGTCAATGTAAAGTCTGGCAGGTAGGCTTAATTATAGAAGAAAGACGGGTGAAAACAACACCCCACCATTTGTCTGGATATGTTTCAGACTACAGTCTCTCGCTCTGTCGTGAAGCGAGATGCACCGTCAGTGGAGGCTCTTATGTAACGAGCCCAATCCAAACACCCAAAGAAACGTTTGCTCCAAAAGTGGGCCAGTAAAATAATTACTCAGATGAGTAAAAAAGGAAAAGACATAAGTGAGGATGGAAAAGGGAGGAATAATTTAAGAGCAGGGGCTGCCAGCTTTGTTTGATATACATTCTAAATTATGAATAGATCCGAGTCTCTGCCATTCTCAGCTCCTTTACCTACACTGGGACTGAATTAATTTCACTTAAGACATTCCCCTCCTCTCTGCACACTTCTCCTCTCAGTGAACTCCAGGTTTAGTATCTTTAATTCTCCCGGTTTTAAACACAACAAACAAATCTGAACACACTGTGTAGAGCTTGTAAAACCAAGACCCTCATTTGTCTTAGGCCAGTGAATCTGATAAGATTTGTAGCTAGCAGGGTTTGCCATGTGGACCGAGGAAGCTTCCACCAGAACACAACTCATCGTGTCCGTAACCATGGTGATGTAAAGTCGACTTGTACAGAGCATTGATCATTCCCTGAGCTGTCATCATTATCGTCCAAATAATCCCCCTTCCCTTAGGCGACGCTCGCCTGTAGCACCCTTCACACTCTCAATCTGACACTTCTCATCAGCATTGGAATATATTACTTGTTTTATTCAGTCCAGGTAAGACGTTATTATCAATACTAATCATCAAGCATGGATTTTCTGATCTATTCCATACTTAGGTGTGGATGTTGAGCTTCACATTGTGACCACGAGTTCCCCCTTTTTCCTCCCCAGACACCCCGTTCAGAGAAGGTCAGGAACGAGACCTTAAGGCGGTCTTGAAGGGGACGGATCCCTCCATCCCACTGGTATTTGTCAGTGGGAACCATGACCTGGGAAACACCCCCACCCCAAGGACAGTGGAGCAGTACTGCAGTGCTTGGGGCGACGACTTTTTTAGCTTCTGGGTAAGCCGACATTAAAGACATTTAGGAGCAGTAGTAGCAGCAGGATAGCTAGTTATATTGGCTTTAGCATGGACAGCTAATCATGACCACATGAACACCTGCTAACAGGATACATGTTCACACAAGAACAAGTCCAAGCCAAGAAAACACACTTACTGCTAATTTCCACATAGTCCATGCACGTGGTCGGTCCCTGGAGCGTGCCAGCAGCACCACAACCCTTTGCTCAGTTTCAAATACACTTCGTGTCTATCTTCGACGGAGCTTGCTGCAAGCACGCATCAAGTTGGACAGAATAGGTCGACCTGGAAAGGAAGTCAGACAAGGAAACACACAGAGCATCCTTTCAATATCAAAATAAAACACTGTAGAATATACTGTAAGTTGTTTGTATTTAAAAATCATGGAAATACTGCCATAAAGTTACTGTAAGCGACTCCCAAAAGACACACTCTATTAAAGAGAGCCCAATATGTACTGACTCTAATTCACCAGTATGTGTAAAGCTTCAGAAACACCAGGTCTCTAAAAAATATCCTTGTTAAGTCCTTGATAAATACCCCAATTTTTTAAAACTCATCACCTCTTGTTGGAAACCCACGCTTAATGACAGGCATTTGAGGAATCCCAGATGACATCAAATCTCAGATTTGGAGAGCTTTTTCCAGAGCAAGTTGCATAATTTCCTTAGTGGAGTTGGACTAATCATAAAGAAGACCTACCTGACATTTTTGCAATGTAATGTAGAGCCGCAGCTAAACAACGCAAAACATAATACAGGAAACTTCAAAATCAGACTCAGAATAAACTTTATTGTCACCATACCAAGCGACAATAAAATATACACCAACCTACCGACCTGTCTTTTGACATTCTTGCATTATTGTCAGGCCCGCCCGCAGAAATGCCTGGGTCCCTGAAAGGTCGAGTTAATGGGCCCCACTCAGGATATTATTAAGTATGCACAATTGATCAGTAGTGTTAGCGCTAGCCTTCTGGCTAATATTAGCTCCCTCTGGGCCTGCTTACGTCCGTAACATTACCAAAAAAAAATTGGTAATTTTTCCTTTGAAGTAGGATGGACCATTCTTTCGTCGACCTCCGTGGGCCCTTCATATGTGACTGGGCCTCAGAAAGCTTTCGTCTTTATCCCCGCTTATGTTGACCCATGACATCGTCAAAATATATTTTACATGTTGGCCAACTTGTGCATAAAGAATCTTTGTATTTATGTTTCTCTACCCATGAGCAAATCTTTTAAGGTCACTGACTCTGTTAAGGAATAGAATTTTAAGCCTGAAGTCTATTTTCCTTGCTTGTGTACAATTTAGATTTAGTATCCAGTATAAGTACGATGTAATATAGTATGATTACTGTATATAGAAAGTGGCACAAGAAATAACCGTAGGAATATGAATGTAGAGAAGGTGTTAGAACTATAAAGGTGTTGTAATTGTAATAAGGTATTGTTTCTTCATCCTCTTGTTGTCTCAGGTGGGCGGGGTCCTCTGCTTGGTTCTGAACTCCCAGCTGTTCTACGACGCCTCAGGCTGCCCTCAGCTGAAGGAGGCCCAGGAGACGTGGCTGGAGGAGCAGCTGAGCAGAGCCTCCTCCTCAACGGTAATACAGTCAGTGACATAATCTGAAGTCATTGTATAACTGCTGCCGATCCGCCGCCATTCAACAAAACAATTCAATTTAGTTTTTTGTTTTGGAGAACTGCACCTCACATCTATCTCCGTTTAGGAACCCAAACCCAAGCACGTCCTGGTGTTCCAGCACATTCCTCTGTACCTGAAGACACCTGATGAGGAGGACAACTACTTCAACCTGCAGAGAGAAGTCAGACAAACCCTGATAGAAAGGTTCAAGAAGGCAGGTAGGAAAACAAATGAATGACTGAGTATGACCTTTTTACCCTCTGGGTGTTTTTGTGAGCAGGATTTTGTAATCATGTAATTCCCCACTCTCTCTCTCTCTCTCTCTCTCTCTGATTTCCAACTCTATCCACTGTCCTATCTCTACATTAAAGGCACAAAAGCCCCCCCCCCCCCCCCCCCCCCAAAAAAAAAAGAAGTAGGAAAACAGAGTCTTGTATAAAGCCTATAATGTAAATTCTATATGGATGGATTTATTCTACTCTAATGATCTAAAGTATCTTATCTTAATACTTCTTAGCGGTTATTCCGTTTTAAAACCCGTTCACCTCCAGCATGTCTTTCTAGAGCCCAGTTCAATTAATATGCCATTAGCGGAGACCGCAGGAAGCACACAAGACAGAGGCGTAATTCAATTAATGAATGCATTCGCTCCCTATAAGAAGAAGTAATTACACAACTGGAATCCATTGCCGTCGGCTTACAGGAGTCTGACACGAGGGTATCCGACTTCTCACAAGGACAGTAACGTCTGCCAGAAATAACACGTTGCACATTGCTCTGTGCGGACACTTCTGCACCAGCTGATTGACAGGACGGCTCATACAGACACGCATCTTTTTTTTCAATCATGCATCAAGGTGACTTGTTCGGTGGGGGGGGGGGCGGTTTTAATTTCATTATCATACTACAGCATGTGTTTAGCCATGTTGGCCTGTTTTGGTCGGACGGTCGTCTTCTCTCATAATTGAGTTCTCCTCTAAGGGAACACTGGTTAAAGATTTAAAGGGCATTCTGTACAAGCTTGTAGGATCAGAGTGTGTGTGTGGAACATGCTCTACACAAGTGTCCTTTCTCATCCCCATGTCTTGTTCACACTTCTGTCTGCAATTATGAATTCAGACCTGCATACATGCACTGCATATAGTTATTAATAACTGATAACGTACATGCTCTTACTGTGCTGTAAAGCTGTGTTAGCTACATGACTTCCTCGTGTTGGTTTGCACATGCAACACGTGGAGTAAATACAATGAATGTCACTTCAGATTCTGCTGTGATTCAGTGCAGTGATTTATCTTCAAGCAGTCATATTTTGCTCATGCAGCCGCTCTGTCTGGTTCTGTCCCATCCATAACAATCGGGCTCTGGTAAAATGTCAAACTCTCTCTCGCTTGTCTCTTGAATTTATCTGCACATCTCTGTCTCCCTACAGCTGAGATGGAGAATTTTAATTTTACTAAGAACTTTTTTTGCCGTTTTGGCGTCCTTAAAAAAATTCAAAGTCGTTCAGATCAACTGTTGAAAAGTCTTTACTGTAAGTAGGGAAGAAAGTCTGAATTTCTATTTGAACATTACAAAAAATCCAGTAAAATTCCAAACAAGCTGTGTCATTTTCCGTGGCTCTTGAAAAGTCAGCTTAATGAATAAAAACCTGAAAAACATCAAATCCAATGACTTGACAGAAAAGTCGGTGCTCACACTGAATCGGAATCCTTCCCGTTATTGTTGAATAATCCAGCTTTTGTCTCTCAGTTTCTGTCTGCTTTCCTCTGATCCCTGAGTTTCTCTTTCATGCTCCTTCTCCCCGTCTCCCCTTCATCTCTCACTTGCAGTTTCCTCGGTGACTGATGCTTTAGCGTCTGTACCCTGAGTCTACTACAGTATGTCCTTGAGGCATGATTGTAGAATACACAAGCTGTGTTTACCACTGTGCTCTTTGTCACTTTATGAAAGAGTTGCTCCTATACATCAGCACCAGAAAAGCTGTTTTTGATTGGAGCAGAGGAGTTGCTCTGTTTAGGAGAAAGGGCAGTCGGTGAGTAAGGTGGTTGAGTCGCATCCCATTTTTTTCATTGTGAAATGTCATGGTAAATATTAGATTGCCACGCCCGTGACATGTCTCTTGGTCTAGTATACGGATTGGCACAAAATGTGGTACAGACATTGACACTTTCCTACGGTGTCTGGGAAGTGCAAAACAAAATGACGTAGATGTAAATCACTTTAACAAGCGCCGAGATAAATGAACAAGGGGTAGACCACTTTTACCAGTCCCCAAACAAATTCACAAACAACAGAATCTTGATGGAAAGGGAATGTACCAAATGACAGATGTTTTTTAGAAAATGTAAATGTGTTTTGTCCTTGGTAAAAGGGTTTTTGGGTTTTGAAATTGTGTTTTATTGAATGTAAAAATGTTTTTCAAAATGTAAATCTGCCTAAAGCTTTGTAGAAGTGTTTCACACTCTCTGATTTTGTTTAGCACTTCCCAGCCCCCGTAGTTTCCAGATAATGTGCTACTGCTACTACTTTAAGGAAACCCTTAAAATTAGTTTGAACAATGCGTGCTGGAGTTTCCTATGAGGAGTATTTTGCTGGTTTAAAAAAAAAAGATTGAAATAAAGATTGACCTGCTAAAGAAAACCAGTCCACCAGCTATAAGATTGATTATTTCTGTATAGTAATTTTAGAGAGATCAGCCGCCCACAGCCTTTTGTTCTAAATTTCCAAGTAAATGACACCTGTGCAAATAAAATGTTTTTATTCTGCACATTGACAAAAAAAAAAAAGAATTGCATCAAATATGTGTTTGTCTGTGTCTGTGTCTGTGCATTGAGCGGCTGTGTTTCCTCTCATCCGTGCTAAATAAGGTCTCCTCTGGAACCTTGGCTCTGGTAATCTTTTTTTCTCCCCCCCCCCCCCCCTTTGCGTTGAGTTATTCACGCATCATGTGCCTCCCATGTTGGTCTGTGCTCACCGCTGCACCCTGTGATCCGAAGCCTCCAGATGTGCTCTTGTACTCCGGTGATCATTACTGTCATTACAGTAAAAGGGCAGAATCATTAGCCCCAGACACACAGACACACACACACACACACACACACACACACACACACACACACATTTCCTCAGTGGAGGAACAGTAAAGCTTTGGAAAGGATGGAGCTTTTATGCCATTTTTCTTGTGAGATTTTCATTAGAGTCAGCAGTTGACAAGGAAAAGTATCTCTGTCTGTGCAGCCAGATATAGCATCATTTTTCCTCTAGACAAATGTAGCTTTACCAGACGTTTAAAACTGATATGTTAAACCGTAAAATTAAAAAAGGAAATAAGCTTCAGGGTGTCTTATCAGAGGCACTTTATACTCTTCTCTAACTGTCAGTTTTGTTATCAATCGAACACGGACGTTTTTCAAAATACTCTTCAAGGATATTCCTCCAAGTTCGCCGCCTCAAAGTTCTTGTACACGTCCGTCTCTCAGCTTAGCTCACGGCCGTCTAGCAGCAACAAAGAGGTTCAAAATTGGATGGCTTTTTCTCGTTCCCCGTCACGTACCGGTAATTTCTACAGAAAAATGAAATTGAAATGGACTCGCTGGATGTTTCACAAATGTGTCTCTGGCGTCACATCACACCTCATGACACAACGCGCTGTGTGTCTGAGATATACGTCCACTCTGAAGGTGTCTCTTTGTGGTGTCGGTTCACTCACAGCAGCTGAGGAGGGTGAGGGTGTTAGAGCTGCTGCTGCTGAGGCTGGGTTTGTGCACCCCCCCTCCCCCCTCTCCAGGTACGATGGAAATAGAAAATATCGTCCCCTGCAGACGCAGAAATACATGTAATTGATTTTCCCTCACTGAGGCAGCCTATTATTTTTCATTTCTCCCCACACTTCTTCCTCATAGCATGCGGTGATGTTTGAGTAATTGTGCGGCCGTGAATTGTTTATTTCGGACACTTTTTTTTTTCTTTTTTTTTCAGCGCGTGTTCGCATATAAATCACTTTTGCACTTGTGCATTTTCCTCCACACACAATGTATTCGACTGTAAATATCTATATGTTATCTCAGCCTCACAGCTCCACGCGGGGAAGATGTGACACCAATTAGTCTTCCTGTGGCTCATCAGAGCGAGCTGCTCTTCCTTCGGGGGGAACCGTTGACTGCATTCCAGCTCGTATTAATGAAGCTCTGTCGCTGCGTGACAACCCCCTTTAGGTCCGGTAAACTATCAGGCCATCTCTTTTTTTTTTTTTTTTTAATTGCACAAGCAATTACTACAGTTTTTAATTCAACAGTGATTTGATTCAATTAAATCTTGGACAGTAATTGTCCATTTGCTCTCTGTTTGGTATCATTTTCTTTTCAAACCTGATTAGAAAAGAACATCTTTGACCGCATAAAAAAAGATGGATTAATTAGTTTTCAACATTTTATGACAACCAGCAAACAAATCGTCAAGACATATTTCTCTGAAGAACACTTTCCCCTCCATACAGTCGGTGTGTTTGGAATCACTTAGCCCTGAAGACCCCAGAGGAAGCACTTTACTCGTATTATGAGTCCCACTGTGCTACCTCATCACTGTCATATCCGTAATCATACTAAATCAAGATCTCTGTGGCTTTCCTACACCAATTTAGTGCCTCTCAGCCAGTGTTTATTTTCTTCAAGCAGAGGAAGGAACAACATGCAAAAGTCGTCAGTTGCACGCTCGATGAGGATGTTGAATTTCAAGAGAACAGAGTCTGTTTGTTTTTTTTTTTGGGGGGGGGGCTTTTTGTGCCTTTTATTAGAGAGACAGGACAGTGGATAGAATCGGAAATCAGGGAGAGAGAGAGTAGGGAATGACATGCGGGAAAGGAGCCACATGTTGGATTCGAACCTGGGCCGCCCACTTTGAGGACCACAGCCTCCATACATGGGGCGTGCACACTAACCACTGAGCCACCAGCGGAGGAGCAGAATCCCAGCAGTGCTCTCTGTCTCTCCTCTCCTCTCCTTTCCTCGTAGATGGTAGGACTGTTATTGGATTTCTGTGCTCCCTTCTTCCTCCTCGTCCTCCTCCTCCTTCGCCTCCTTCAAGGTTTATACCTCGCATTCAGCTTACCTTCAGCACGTACAAACAAGGACAAATGAGAGCACACTCACATATAGACAGATACACACTTCCAAGCTGCCTCCAAACCCTGTTTATATATTGGAGAAAAAAACAAAAA